TTGAAAAACGTTCGAAAAAGCAGTGTTTTCTCATTATCCTTTTATGAAATGGCGGGGGGCGGGGAGGCGCCAAATGATTACATACTTTTGAGGGAATAAAATGTGCTCACGATTTAATGACGTTTCAGTAATCAGCACTTAAATTTGACATTATAAAGATTCATTAAAGCTAAATGTATAAAGTATTACATTTATAATACGTTATTTGTACAAACGATGTTTTTTATGTAATTTAAATGGATATTACGAGGCTTTCAGGAAGCTCATGTTAATTCATTGAAAACCAATGATTATGTTTCTTTCTCTGTTTCAATTAACGTATTTAATGTGTGTTTGAAAGCCTATTACATAGCAGGATCATCTAAAGATCTTTTTTTTTTGCATCCTTTGAACTGAATTGAGGAGAATTTTGTGAATTTTAAAATGATTGCCGTCGCGTTTCCATCGATTCAGGCATGGATTATGGAAAATCTTTCCGGATTCGCATTCGAGTTTGTGTTTTCGTGGATCGGCCCCGTTTGATGCTTCTCTCATTGCTCATTAATATCGACTATTGATTCTGCGGCGGCAGCAGCAAATTGTCTGTCAGTTTGCGCCGTTTCCACACATTCAATCAACATTACAGAACCGCATGCACACTCAGTTTTCCTGGAACACTGAAATACGGTTCAGCAGTTAATTGCTGTTCGATTATTCAAAGCTACTTACCCTCAGTTAAATAGTTATCTTCAGCTTGTTGGTAGTCGACGGAATGTGCCGGTTCCGTCGCTGACTCCTTCTGCTCCAGCGTGGTTTTGAGGTCGTCGAAGATGCCGGCCTCCTCCGGGTAGATCTTCTTCCATAGTTTCCAGTCCGTTCTCATGCTGATAACTGGATGGACTCACATTTCCTGCAAAAGAAGGAAGAAATTACGGAGTGAGATATAGGCATTAAGTGGACGTGGGTTTCGGGCGGAGGACGACACTTTACGGCACATTCTAAGATGAAAGGACGTTTACTGCTCCGAGCGAATTATACATGGGGGATAATTTATTAAAAGCTTCCATGTCTCCGGGGAGCTTTACTATTTTATCGAAAAATCCAATTTCCTTTCAGGCTTTATGTTTTTCTTCGTTTTCTATTCACCATTTAGATGCCATTAAATCCACACAGAGAGAAAATCAATTTCCAAAGATACGATACGTTTACTTAACTACAATATTTTTTACATTACACTGATGAAAATTTACTACAAAGTGTAACAAAAATTTTTACATTTTCCACAGTTCGTATTGAATCACACGGAAAATTAGAGCAGTTTTATCAGCGTGGACACAGCCATTCCAAGAACGTGATCTGGAAAAATGATTGTACATTTCACAAATTCTTTCAATTACCTTTTCCGAAGAGAATTAGGACAAATCGTGCCACGATTCATATTAAATATAATTAATGAAAAAGATTTTTTACAAAGATTGATATTATTTGTATTGTTATGAATATTAAATGCAATTAAGTGAAACACAGCAGAATTTAACAATAAAGAACATTAATAGAAAATATTTCTTTTTATTAGTTCTATATCAAATTAAATATGTGTTAAAAATAAACCTGTAATGTTTTATTGCCTATCGATTCCGGTGACAATAATGAGTCGAACCATAGAGAAAAAAGTAGTATGTAATAAGTAATTCATGGAATGTTTAGACGGAATTTGAAAAATTGTTACCTTCGCATGCAGTTTGCGGAAACACATCGATCCTTCCAACTCGCAAACGAGTTTCCTTTAAAATGTCCATTTGTATCATAGAATAGTTTCTGCATATTTCGTTTTTTATTTTTGGCAACTTGCTGCAAGGATTTGGCGAAAAAACCTCCATTAAACAAAAGGATTTATAATACCTGCAAACTCGAAACAAACTTTTCCGTATTTCATTAAAACCCAACTGAAACTCCTACACCATCACCAATAATTATTTTAATTAAACCTTTTTTTTGAAATGCGAATTCTTTAGTGTTAGTTTGTTACGGATTTTGTACTTTTTAATTAATCATTAATGCAATTAGTCGATAAGCAAATGTTGATGTAAAAGTTACTTATAATTATGATCTTAGTTTACTTTCACCTATGGTAATATGAGTTTATATGTATCAAATGGGTTTATTGACCGTTTTTATTAAATTATTAATTGCATAAGTTTTGATTAATTCCATATATACCTTTTGTTATTAAAGCAGTTATGATTTTTATTAAAATTATAATTGGTGTATATTTGGTTGCATATGTTAGATATTGATTTTTCAAATAATTTTAAAATCTATTGTTAATATTAATTAATTTAACGTAAGATAAATCGAATAAGGAAGGTGAATAATGATAGAAATTGTTAATAAAATTATCGTATTGTTTTATTATATAATTGGATTTAAATATATACAATTTATAGCTAGAGACAAAGTTTATGGATTATTTAACAGGTGCATAAAAGTATAGCCTTTTGCTAGGATCCTTAATGATGGTCTTCATCTTTCCATCCTTTCCTTTGAAGAATATTTTCACTTCGTCGTCGAATTGGTAATCGCCGGTATTTTCTTTCCTCTCGACGATCTCTTCGCTCTCTTTGAACAGATTGATTTTCGTCGGTCCGCTGTTCTCAGGAATGTAATTCCCACCGTGCTGCATCGTCGTGTCGAACTCTTTGAAAGTTTCCACTTCGAGTTTCCGCGGATTGATTTCACCCGGCTTATCCGCAGCCGTCCTCAGATTGGTTCGATTGTAATTTAGGATGTCCGGCGTAATCAGTCGGGGCCTCTTCAGCATCGCTGTCATGTTGGAGGAAAGCTTCCGTTCTTTGGCGACGATTGGCGTGTATATGGATTTGTGGTTGGGTGGGATTTTAGTGGAAATTTCATGTAGACGACGTTGGGTTCGATGAATCTCAGAGCTGGCGTCTTCTTCGTCTATCGAGGGAGTCGTTGTCCTCAACCTGATCTTAGGTCTCTGGCGTCTTGGGTACACTCTTGAGGCTGGACGATGGGTGGCTGGAGTGTAATTGCTTTCGGTTACTTCTTCGGTTCGTGGAGATTCTGAAGTGGTTGTTGTTGGTCTTCTGGAAGCTCGTTTTCGTCCTCTAAGTTTTGCTGTTACAGGTGCTTGAGTTGTAGTTGTTGTGGTTGTTGTTGTTGTAGTCGTGGTGGTAGATGTAGTGGTATTATCCTCCTCAACTTCTTTACTATTCAAAGGTAAATCATCTTCGTCCTCGTTGTATCTGCTGCTTAAGTTATGCCTCGAATGAGATCGCTCTATAGTTTTGTATTTGGAATAATCTATGGTAGTTCTAGGTGTGTAACTCTTCGTCTTTGGTAGATATTCGCTGATGTCGAATATTTGCAATTGACCACCCGTGTTGAATTGCCCGCCAGGAGCGTTCTGAACGATCCGCGCCGGTTCTTCATCCTCATCTTCTTCATCCTCCTCTTCTTCAACCGGAGCCTCCGTAGTAGTTGTAGCTTTCTTCTTTTTCTTCTCATCTTCATCCTCGATCTTTACATACCCATCGCTGCTGTGCAGTTTCTCTAAGAACTTTAGAAACTCCGGAGGCGTCGTGCTTTCCGGCTTCAGCGTCGTCGTCGAAGTGGTGGTAGTCTTTTCAGGATCAGGGATGTACACGTAAGCCGGATTTGTCTTCAGTTGCGTCAAGAAATCGACGAGCGTTAAACCATTGGCTTTATCCAGAACATCTTTATGGTAAACAGTCCTGTGAGTCGTCGTTGCTTTCGGCTTCTCCGTGACTTCTTCTTCCTCTAGGATTTCTTCGTACTCAACATCAGGTAACAGTTCCGTCGTCGTCTCTTTTTTATCGTAGATAATTTGATCGGTTTCGGGATCGTAATGGAAACTAGTCGGTCTGTGCGGAACGTAATCATCATCTTCATCATCGTCTTCTTGTTCGGCAGCTTCTTCTTTTTCGGTGGTTTGAACCTGCGGCCTCCTGATCTGCGAATAAGACAATCTACCCGGACTCCTCTTGAGACGATGATTCGCAAAAGTTCCGCTCCGCCGCACCAAATTAGTCTGCAACAACTTGTAATCCGAATAGATGTAAGGTTTCTCGCTCTCCAGCGGCGGTTTCATCCCTGGCACGAGATATTTGTTGAGCGGAATATCGATGGTCGTGTAACCGGAAACCTTCTTTTCAGGAAGCACCGTCGATGATTCCACCACCTCTTCGTAGAATACAGGAGTATCAGCCGATTGCGATGCCGCCGAATCTTTCGGCTTCTTTTTGTATCTTCGCGTGTATTTGCTCGGCTGATAATGCGAATCCGTATTGGGATCGTCGACTCTCTGGTGCTTCTTCATATTTTTCACGTATCCATTGTAAATTTCCTCGTTCTTCCGCCTCAGATTCACGGTTCGCGCGGTCGTGGCTCTCGAGATGATGTTCATTGAACCGCGACTGGAATTCCTTATGTTGTTGATGATGTCGGCGAAAACGTCGAGCTGTTCGCTCGGCTTAATCTCGTCCTTGTAGTGGACCTCGCTGAAGACAGGGGTTTTATCGTACTTGGGCCTCATTAACCTCCTATTCGGAACGTATCTATATTTATAATTCTGAGGCCTCCTCCTTCTGCGTCGTCTCCTCATTAATTTAAGGGCTTGGGCTTGAGGCTCTCCATCCGCTGCAGGATTAACACTCTCATCCACCTCCTCGTAATCGTACTCATAATCCGTACTATTTTGCGTATCGAAGTTTATATCCATAGCTTTAGCTTGTCTCAAAGTTTTCTCACTGCTCTCTTCATTTCGAACAGTTGCTTTATCTGCAGCGAGTTCTTTAAAAACGGGATTCAAATCGCCGACAGTTTCCTCGCTGAAAATCGGACTGTCGAGAGGATCCGAACCGAAGAATTTCCGCTTAAAACAATCAATTTTCTCATCTAAACTAGGCAATCTCGGCAGTTTCAAATCACCCTTTTGTCCATCTTCAGGAACCGGATTCACCACATTCTCAATCTCCTTGCATTCAACCCCATTCTTCTGCTCGTAAAACGACATTTTCCCTTCGACTTTCACCGGGTTGCTCTTCAAATCTTGCGCGTAACGCAACGAAGAATCGCTCGGAAGATTATTCGCTTTATAATACGGATACTTGTCATTCTCTATAAAACGTTTAGGCCTTTTGAAGTGTCTCTCGATATCCTTCCTGATGGAACTGGCCGTTTCCGTATCGATATGCGACTGCTCCTTCATTTCACCCAACTGCGCGAATTTGACCATCTGCGATTTCTTCGGGTTCAATTTAATCCGCGTCGAAATTTCGCTGCTCTCCGCTTCCGGTTCTTCATAACCTTCAGATTCTTCGGCTTCCTTTTCGTGACCGGCATGGTCGTAAGCTCCATCCTCGTAACCTTCCTCAGTGTAAACAGTGTGGATCTTCTTGTTGGTAACTAATTCTCTTAACCTAGGCTCAAGAACGCTTGCAGGTAAATGTCTTTCGTTTTCGTACTTCCTCACTTGCGAATACGTGCGAGTCGGGATAAACTCATCCTCTTGATCATCATCATCATCATCTTCATCAACGTCGTAATCATCTTGTTGTTTCTGGTTATTATTCGGTAAAGTGTTGTATTTTTCCGAATTCTTATTGAACAACTGTTGACCCTTCTGGAAGATCTCGTAACCTTGTCGCTTTTCGTCTTTGGTTTCTGGGTATTGCGTGGTTGTTGCTGTCGGAATGTACGGGCGATGCGTTAAACCCTGCTTCGCCCAAAGACCTTCGCCCGGATAAATAGGTTTCGTGGCTATAGGAAAAGAATCCGGTTCCGGTTTCACGTACTTGGAGATCCTGTACTTGGTTTGCGTTTGCTGCGGCTTATACACTTTACTCGGACCGCGATACCTATATTCTTGGCCATCTGCTGCTGGAAAGTAAGGCACCTGGGGATTGTTGTACCTCTTCGGGTTATTGTGTTGCCACCTATTGTAATTGGAATCGACGGTTTGCGCGTTTTCATTGAAATTGGTCCATGCTGTTGGCACGCGCACAGCATCCAAGCAACCGACGACGGTAAGTGCAATCAAGATGAACGTCATTTTAGAAAGTCTACAGCAGCAACAACATTATCCAGAACGTCTTTATTCCCTGCAGGCACGCTCGTATCACATGTACTTCAATCTGGAACACTTTGTCTTAATCTATATAATCCGGATTTCACAATCACAAGCAAAACCAGTTTTTCACTTTTCAATCTGCGAAATTCATTGGAGAAAAAAAAAACTGATTAAAAATCCACCCAACTTCTTTCACTTCCAAAGCATTTCTTCACTCAAACCGCAACTCAATCCAAATTTATACAATTAAACCGTCCAGTTTTCATTAAACTACTCTACTTAAACGAATCGCGAGATATTTACTCAATTTCTTTCCCTTGGAAATATCGATTGCACGGTTAGCTAACTACGCGTTCCTTATTAATTAATATGCGACATTTCCATTTCACACAGAACTATTACATTTACATAACAAACAGGAACCTTTTTTTTTTTTATATAAATACATATGTGATAACCGGCGCAAAGCTTTTAAACTAATTGGAATTGGTTGAATTCATGAATGCGGTTCAACAACAACAAAAAAAATGCTTCAAAACAAAAATTGTGTGGACAGATTAATCATTTTTTTAATTACTAACACTCGTTCGGTTTGCAACTCAAAGAACACACAGACGCAGCAGAGATTTATAACTCGAGAGAACTGCTACTTGGAATCACTTTCACACGGTGCTCGCGCCACGAACAACTTCTTTCGAGTGTCGGGTTCTTGGTGGATAGGTTCTGGTATAAACCCAGTTTCTCTCCACGAGCAAGAATTTCACTCGGGCGTGAGCAGCCACCGCCACTAATTTGTTATATCCATTTTATGTTTTTATTGCGCGAATCGATTCGCTGCAGAATTCAAGAATCGAATTGTAATTTAATACAATTTCGATAATGAAATTACATCTTTTTTTATTTTTACAGTTATTCAATGAATTGCTCGAAACGCGGGGGTTGAACACAAAGAAGATATGATGAGAAAATTCTTTTGCTGAATCACAAAGGGAATAAGAAGGAAGGCGAACAAAGAGGAAGCGAAATTGGGAAGCTGATGATAAGAATGGAATTAAAGATTCGCTTTATATGTATTATTTATCTGTGAAGTGCGCGCACACTTTAACCTTTGTTTTCTCGCTTGAATTATGCAACAATATGCATCGATTTTACGCTAAGGTTAGTTGTAGTGAAAAACGTGAGTTTCCACTACATTATTTATGTCTTAAGACGAGTTTTAAAAGAAATCATTTTATGTTTATAAAAGCAATTGCAAATAATCTCTAATTAAAATAGAAAATTAATAATTAATTATTAATTTGTGTATTTTATCTAGTCATTAAGTATAAAAGCTTTAATGACTATTTGTTGCTGCAAACGTGCATGATACATAGATTTTATTGCAAAAAATAACAAAACGTGAGTTTCTAAGACAACCTAATAAATTGTTGATTCATATCAATGTTAATATTAAATACAAATATTTTGTTACCATGACAACCAATTTTCAATAATATTCAATAGTGAATTATTTTCTAATATTTAAAGAGAAGTAAAAAAGTAATCAAATTTAAATCAATCAAAAATATTATTTGGAACAAATAGTGGAATTTGAATATGACCTAAAATGTAATAACCATCTGCTGCTTACTTCAATTCTGATGTCAACATGAAAACTCTTTTTTTTTGAGGTCAACATTCGTTTATAAATATGTAAATTCTTATAATTATTTGATTACAAAATTAAGTATTTTATATTAATTGCTTATAAAATTATATATTTTTTTTAAATAGTAAAATTTGAATTTGACCTGAAAGATAAAACCATCTGTCATGTAAATATAAAAAAAAATAATAAACTAAGCTAAAATGCACAAAAACTTTCTAAATGTAAATAAATTAAAAAAAAAAAAACTAAACTTGATTCAAAGTTTTCACTTAAATAAATCAAGAGACACGCGAAAAACGTTATTCTTTTCTTTCACCTGTCAAACCTTCAATCAAAAGCATTTATTTCCCTTTCTTTGTGTACAAATGTCCGCAAACTCTTTTGAAAGTGTGATTTCGTGCGAAGCCCAATCAAGCTTGAAACCTGTGCAGACAAGAAAACAATAAAAAGGAAAACAAAACAGGAGCCATCACCAATTGATAAACGGCGTTGCGAAAAAATAAAAGAAAGAAAGACACTTTCCGATGTCGAAACGTGACGGATCGGAAATGTCGTTGCAGGATTTTGTCATTAAGTTTTAACGATGATTTATCGAAGTTGTGATTGATTTAGTAGCAGGAGTCAGCTGTTCGCATGGAAACAAAACAAAACAAAACCAACAACGAAAGAAGGAAACAAAAGTTGACGTGGTGAAAGTGTGACCAACGCTTTGTTTTCCACATCATTATTAATACATTTTTTTTGTATGCAGGCTATGGAAATACTAAGAAAGTATATGGCTTACGTTGTTTAAGCAATTTATAATTTACAATTACAGGTAAACATCGCTTGATTAACGCTGCACATGGGTCACATTAAATGGACATGGAACAGCCCTTAAATAATTGATAATGTTTGCAGCCTTCGCATTGTGAATTATCAAGTAACGCGTATTTAGTTTACTTGGAATTACTTGCAACACAAATTAAATTTTGAAGTATTACTTTTTTAAGTTTACTTGGCAAGTAATTACTCAAGTTACTTGGCTATCTAACAACAAATAAAATCAATCAATATTAAATTTTGTGGTATTACTTTTTTACGTTTACTTGGCAAGTAATTACTCAAGTTACTTGGCTAACAAGCAAAAAATAGAGTCAATCAAAATCACACTTAAATTTTGAAGTATTGCTTTTTATAAACTAACTTGGCAAGTAATTAATCACGTTACTTGGCTATCTAACAACAAATAAAATCAATCAAAATCAATATTAAATTTAGTGGAATTACTTTTTTACGTTTACTTGGCAAGTAAATACTTAAGTTACTTGGCTACCAAACAACAAATAGAGTCAATCAAAATCACAATTAAATTTTGAAGTATTACTTTTTTAACTTGGCAAGTAATTACTCAAGTTACTTAGTTATCAAAGAACATATAAAGTCAATCAAAATCAGAATAAAATTTAGAAGCATTGCTTTTGTAAGTTTACTTGTTAAATAATTACTTAAGTTAGTTGACTAACAAGCAACAAATAGAGTCAATCAAAACCACAAGTAAATTTTGAAAAAGTAATACTTTTAACATGGCAAGTAATTACTCAAGTTATTTAGCTATCAGACAACAAATAGAGTCAATAAAAATCAGTATTAAATTTTGTGATATTACTTTTTATAAGTTAACTTGGCAAGTAATTACTCACGTTACATGGCTAACCAGCAGCAGAGTCAATCAAACTCACAATTAAATTTTGAAGTATTACTTTTTTAACTTGGCAAGTAATTACTCAAGTTACTTAATTATCAAACAACATATAGAGTCCATCAAAATCATAATTAAATTTTGAAGCATTACTTTTTTTAAGTTTACTTGGCAAGTAATTACTCAAGTTACTTAGTTATCAAAGAACATATAGAGTCCATCAAAATCATAATTATATTTTGAAGCATTACTTTTTATAAGTTTACTTGGCAAGTAATTACTCAAGTTACTTAGTTATCAAACAACATATAAAGTTCATCAAAATTAAATTTTGAAGCATTACTTTTTTAAGTTTACTTGTTAAGTAATTACTTAAGTTACATGGCTATAAAACAACAAATAGAATCAATCAAAATCTATATTAAATTTTGTGGTATTACTTCCTAATATTTACTTGTCAAGTAATTACTGAAGTTACTTAGTTATCAAACAACATATAGAGTCCATCAAAATCATAATTAAATTTTGTGAAATTACTTTTTAAGTTTACTTAGCAAGTAATTACTCAAGTTACTTGTTTACTAGTTAAGTAATTACTTAAGTTACTTGGCTATCAAACAACAAATAGAGTCAATCAGAATCACAATTAAATTTGGAAGTATTACTTTTTATAAGTTTACTTAGCAAGTAATAACTCAAGTATCTTAGCAACCAAACATCCACCAAGTAATCAAAACAGTTGTTTGTTTCTTTTTTTTTTTCGAATGTCAGAATGCTATTAACCCTAATTGATGTTTCGCTTTTGTTTTTATCAAAAAAAAAACAACTTTGATTTCTGCGTGCATTTGCCGAAGCATTTCGAAATGGGGAGGGCTGCTGCATTATTAATTCCGGCTGCAAATAATTGATGAGTGAGGTGGAAATTCGCATGATTAAATTATGGTTTTGAGAGTCGAGGTTGCAGAGGCCTGAAACCAGGATCGATGGGAATGAAAAACACACAGAAAAAAAATGTAATGAAAATCACATAGAATTAGGGTACTTTTCATCCGCTCTACACTATTATTAATACACGTACGTTGAATTGAAATTATTAACAAACAAAAAAAAGGAAATGTATGCGAATTACATCGTTTGTATCTGAGCTATTAACAAGGATCGATGTGAATAATAAAATTGAATACAAAATTTAATAAAACTCACACAGAATTAACGCATTTTCACTACACTATTATTTATTCATTGAATTGAAATTATTTACAATTAGAACAACAAAAAAACAGGAGTAAACATCGTTTCTATATGGGCTATTAACAAGGATCGATTGAACTCATAAAACATATTCTGAGTTCAGATTAAGCGTATTTTCATTCAATCTGCTCTATTATTAGGTAATTACGTTATGAGCAAAACAAACTATTATTAAATTCAAATTATTTATCGAACAAACATCGAATCACATCATTGAAATACTGCACTTTTTTTCCTCTTTTCGTTTCGTCTTTCAACGCTTAATGAACATCCATTCTTCACACCGAATTTATGTGATTAACTCAGCTTTCTTCTTATGCGTATATCCGTATACGCAGAGCAAATTTTCATCTCTCTTCGTTCATTCAAAACGAAACTTTAACTGTGCACAAAACATTAAGA